CCAATAAAGAGATAGTCATACTGCCAAGCATCAATACATGCTCTTCATAGCTCTAATAAATCTGCTCCCAGAAAATAAACCATGTTTGGCTGGAATTTTAGAGAGAATATTAGCAAACATCAAGCTCAGAATGTGATTAACCAAGCTTTTCAGCACACAAAGCTTACAAAATAAGAGATTGTTAAAACCCTTTAAAAACACTTGATGAAAACTATCAAAAAATAAGAATCATATCTGCAAAAGGGCTGCATATTGTATTGGGGGCAGCTCCTTAAGCAAATAACTCAAAAAAGGGAGTTAAATAGCCCTGAGTATTCATGAGAATTCATTCTATAAATGTCTATCTCATAAAATAATAAAATAATAATAATATCAAGAGTTAATGAGTGCTCCTTGCTAGCTGACTCTATTTTAACATATTTAACAGATCCTCACAAGAATCTCATGAGGGTAAATACTGTTTTATTCCTATTATACAAATGAGGAAACTGTGGCTTCAGGAAGCTGTCCACAGCCATATATCTGGGGTGAGAGGGTTGTGGTGTTTATCAAACCCAGGTATGTCTTACTCTAAATCCCATACCACTTATTTATTACATATTCAAAATCTACATATAAAGACCCACTCTATATTAAGACAAGTCATTAACAAGGCTTGTCATTAACAAGGCACTGCCAGCCTTCCTATTTCACTCTGAAAAATTCCAGCATTCTAGAAACTTTTTTTTTTTTGGTGAGTTTCGTTTATCTCAGTCTGTTGGATGTATAGTTTAACTTTGTTGACTATTAAATGGTCACAGTTTTACCTGGTAAAATCCTCCTTTAAGATTATTAAGAAACTGAGGAATAAGCTTTCAGTATCCCAGTCATTCAAGAAATCTCCCTGTCTCTGTCTCTGTCTCTGTCCCTCTCTGTCTGTGTGTCTCTCTCTCTCTCTCTCTCTCACACACACACACACACACACACACACAATGTAAACTGCTCCAGGAACTCACATCCTATTTGTAAATCCATTTGCACAGTAAATATTAATACATGGAAGGACCTCAGCATCAAATTACTGGAAGAGGCATTACTTTATCAATGTTCAAAAGAGGGAACAAGCATCTTGAGTTCAGGGGACCTAAGACAAAGGTAAGGTATAAATGTTGCCTTGATGGGTTCTTTACTATCCAAGTAAGTGAGACAAAAAATGAAAGGTACTATATAAACATGAGAATTTATTTCTCATAGTTACAGAGGCCGAGAAGTCCAAGATCAAGGTGCTGGTTGATTCAGCTCCCCAGTGAGCTCTCCTCCTGGCTTACAGATGGCCACCCTGTAGCTGTGAACTCACAGGGTGGAAAGAGAGGAGGCAAGCTTTCTGATACATTTTCTTTTATGGGCACTAATTCCATCATAAGATTCACCCTCATGACCGCCTCTGAATCTAATTACCTCCCAAAGCCCCACCCAAATACCATCATATTAGCATTTAGGGCTTCAATGTATGAATTTTGGAGGGGACACAATTCAGTCCACAGATAGTACATTACAACCAAACTCCAGGGCAGAAGATCTCAGTGACTCTTGGCAGCAGAGGGAATAGAGAAGCAGAGGAGTAATGGAAGATAAGCATGGAAACACCCAGGACATCCTCCTATTGGCAGCTGTAACTGCCAGACTAAGGAGTTCACTATTATTATTTAACTGACCTTGGTCAAAGTTGTTAACCAAAATTCATTTGATGAGACATTATAGGATGTTTTAAGGAAGGAGGTAACACAGTTATCCTATTCGAGATAGGATATCTTGTCCCAGTGTGAATATGCCATGAATTACCTTAACAGATAACAAATAACACATAAGAACTATGGTTCAAAATGGAGAAATGAGAGTCAAGTAAGTATGGCAATAAAATAATCTTAGAAATCAACTGGGAATATAGAAAACTAATATATATATATATAATATATATATGTATATGAAATAGGGGCTCTTTCTTAAGCCAGCACCTAGAAAGTACGTAATAGCTAGCGTGTATGGAAAAAATAACTTGTTGGAGGATGGGAGAAAGGGGGCAGTGAACTTAACATCTTTCATTCAAAGTTGATTTTGAAAAATACAAAAGTGGAAATGTAAGACAAAAAACATTGCCACTCCAGTTTGCTGACAGAGCGTTTCTCAACAACAGTAATTACAAAAATGTTGATTTAAGGCATTTGTAAAGAAGCACAATGGTTGTAACTTCATCTATTATGGGCACTGAGGGTGTAGAGGGAGGAAAAAAATCTAATAATACTTACCAAAAAAACCCCTTAATAAACAACTAAAAGTAATTGTTTCAGAGACACAGCAAAATCAAGTACTCTAAATGACTTGCATTTTTCTGCTCTTGTAGTCCAAATTTTATAACTTTAGTCAAGGAAGAATCTTTGCTGTTAGAGTTTCCTAAACACAAAGTGCAGGTTGTCCATTGGACTTTTTATTTTTATTTTTTTATTTATACAACTGTCAAATTTATTATAGAAGAATTCTTACCTTTTTTCTGAGTAAGACTCATTTAGGGAACAATAAATACAATGTCAGGAAGGAGCAGTCTCTGTCCTTTGAACCTATTTAGTAAGCAGGTAATTTTATTGTTTACACACTCCCATTTTTAAAAGCAAGCACAAGTGTTTATTTTTTTTCTAATTAAGAGGTTATATATTTTCTGTATTCTCTTATTTTAAAGATAATTTCTTCTAAATTTTATCAGTTCGATAATCTTTTTAAGATCTTTTTCATTTGATCTTCATGTAGGTGTTAAATTATTTGTGCAGCAGTATTTCCATTAGTAGACTACTAACAACAGTAGGTAGAAGCATTTTTACTAACTTGTGCTACTATATTTAGACATGATGTAATTTTTGTCTTCAGGTATACAAATTCTTGACATATTCTAAGTAAATTTAAATAAATTAAAATACAAGGAATCATTTGGGCAGTGATCATTTTAGTAACTCTGTTGTCCCAAATCCTCTTTCAACTTAGCAATTACAACCATTGTCTCTCTGTTTTACTTGGGAAGATGGGTGGAATCTCCATTAACTCCAAGATAAAAGTTCACTGCTATGCATAACCTTCATGATGGTGAAGGATAATTTTTTCTAGATTGATTTTCTCTCCTTCCCCTCCCTTTTTTTTCTTTTCCTTTTCTGTACTTTCCCCACCCCTTCCTTTTTTTCTTTTAATAAAATTAAGATAGCTATATATGCCATGTGCCTGACTCAGAGTGGTAGTACTAATGGAGTCTGTCTTTTTGGAGGATACATGTATATCAGATTAGGTACTATAAAATACATCAGACTGACAATTTTACTGGGTCTTCTTCTGCTTAATCAGTTTTACCTGCTTTTCATAATATTTTATACTACATTAATTTATCAAGGCAAAAGGGAGTACTTCTGGGTTGGATCAGGAGTAGGGAGTAGGGCAGGGAGGCCTTCTCATATAACCAGCGTCAGTGTTCTTTAGGAAATTTAGTATAGTTCATTACAGTGGTTGGTTACAAAATTGTAGGAGATATTCTACAAGGGGAACAGAGTAGCTTTAATCTGAGAAGCTGTGAAAAGACAGTACTAGTAGATTTACAAATGTAGGGATGAGAGTGGAGCCAATAACACCCAGGGGGTGACTGACTCTTATGGAGAGTTTTTCTCTAGCTTGTGTGGTCTATCCATCTAATCTCACTGGTCCCTAAAGCTCTTGTCTAAAATCTAGAACAAATCATCTTTCTTTAACACGATGGGAAAAACAAATTCTTTGTTCAATAATCCACAGAATAGTTGATGCATGTCTGCAACAAAGTTTTCACTATCTACTTTTAATAGAAATTAAGAATAATATGGTCGTTTCTTTCATAAAATTTGTATGTATTTAATTTTCAAATTTTATGTCCTACTTTCTGATTTTATGAAATGGTAATGCCAGTTGAGAGATTGTGTCTGTGGTGTTTTGGGATAAAAAGTGAACAAGTCTGTCTTTTCCCCTAGTTATTTATTTTTATTTGTACCATTCAATGAAAACCCGAACAGTGAAGCAGGTTTCTGAAATATTCTTCTAGTTCATTTACTTGTTCCAGTGGTTTGAAGACTTCAGTTAACCTAAGAATAACCTGGGAACCTTGTTAAAAATATAGATTCTTGATGCCTCTTCTCTGAGATTCGGGCATTGGTATTTTATCCTTAATTTACTTTGCAAATATCCAGTTACTGTGTAAGTTGAGTCTCTTAGAAACAGAATGTGATTCATTCAATGAGTATTATCCACTTGTCGCCAGAAACTTTGGAACTTACTGAGTATTCAAAGTTTCTTGAATGAATAGGGCACATTTTGAATTTCGTGGGTTTTGTGAATAGGCCTGAGCAAATCAACTAATTATAACCTTGTTTACGTAGAAGTGTAAACAATTTGCCAAGCGGAGCCCGGGCTGTTTACAAACTGGTTGGGAATTGCCTATATTCTTTTGAGTACTACCTGTTCCCACTCCAGGGCCTCATGGCAGGTGCTCAGCTCCATTCTGCTACGTTTTATTAAGCTTCGAGGTGGGTTAAAACGCTGTGTTCTAAATGAACCCGTTACAGCTTTTCAACTTGCCCCATAAATCTGTCCCAGAACTTCTCATTGTATTATTATTATTTCCTTTGAGATTGCCCTGTAAAAAAAAAGCAAAGTAGTTGGTGGTTGCGCTGGAGACTGAGTGAGGCCGGCTGGTTCTTGCAGTACCCTTGCCTGCACGGCAGAACCCTGGAAGAACCCAGCGAGGACACAAGCTTTTCCCTGGCGCTGCCGGAGGGCTGAACAGCAGAGTGCTCCCCGGGGGCATTGTGTGTGAGCTGGCTGGAGATCGCAGGCCCAGGGGGGGCAGCTTCATCACAGGAGACAAGACACGCCTCAGACCAGGCAAATTCCCGGCCTCCTCTGGCCCCAAGCCAGCAGCCGCCGCCCGCAACCTCCTCTCCTCCTCCGCTGTTGCCCAGGCCGCCCCGCTGGGCCCCGACCTCGCCGGCGCCTGGGAGCACAGCCCCTCTGCCCACGGCGCAGGCTGCGCGGCTGGGACGGGACCGATGTGGCGCATGCGTGGTGGCGCCACCAGGCGCGGGAACTGCGGCGGCGGAGACGGCAGCGGGGGCAGCTGCTGGCAGGGCCGCCCGGGCCGCGTTCGTGGGGGTGGCGGCAGCAGCGGCAGCGTGGGCTGGCGAGGCCGTGCGGACGGCGCCCGACAGCAGCTGGAGGAGCGGTTCGCCGACCTGGCGGCAAGCCACCTGGAGGCCCTCCGCGCGCGGGACGAGCAGTACCGGCAGAATGCGCGGCTGCGC